TTATTAATATGTAAAAATCTTTGGAAAAACATTATGGTCCCATGAATTTAAAAAAATAATAAAAAAAACATATATATATGAGCTATTGGTTTGATGTGGTTCTTTGCACAGGTAGGAAATACTATATAACTAGGGCCCTACCAAAATTCACAACCATGAAAAACATGTCACGGACTGTGAAATCTGGTGTTGTGTGCTTTTACTCTATACTATACAGATTTCATGGGGGAGACCAGTGTTTCTCAAATTGGGAGTCCTGACCCAAAAGGGAGTTGCAAGGAGGTCGCAAGGTTATTTTAGGGGGTCACGGTATTGCCACTCTTACTTCTGCACTGCGTTCAGAGCTGGGCGGCCAGAGAGGGGTGGCTGTTGGCCAGGTGCCCAGCTCTGAAAGCAGCACCCTGCCAGCAGCAGCATAGAAGTAAGGGTGACAATACCATACCGTGCCATCTTTACTTCTGCGCTGGTGCTAGCGGTGGCTCTGCCTTCAAAGCTGGGCTCCCGGCCAGCAGCCGCCACTCTCCAGGTGCCCAGCTCTGAAGGCAGCACCACCACCAGCAGCAGCGCAGAAGTAACAGTAGCAGTACCACAACCCCCACTATAATAACCTTATGACCACCCCACCACTCCCTTTTGGGTCAGGACCCCTATAATTACAACACCATGAAATTTCAGATTTAAATAGCTGAAATCATGAAATTATGATTTTTAAAATCTGATGACCATGAAATTGACCAAAATGGACCATGAATTTGGTAGGGTCCTATATATAACTATATTGTCTAGCATCCTATCCATTTTAAAAATATTAAATTACCTCTCTGTGACAGGTGCTAGAATCCTGACTAGAAATCAGGGCCGGCTCCAGGCACCAGGCAACCAAGCACATGCTTGGGGCGGCACCTGGTAAGGGGCGGCCAATCTTGGGGTGGCGGGGGGCAGCGCGGTGCGGCATTCCATGGGGGGGGCGCTCCGGCGGCGTGGCGCTCGGGGGGGGCGTGGCGCTCGGGGGGGGGGGCGGCGCAGGGCGTGGCGCTCGGCGTGGGGGGTTCCGGCGGCGGTTTTTTTTGCTGCTTGGGGCAGCAAAAAAGTTAGAGCCAGCCCTGCTAGAAATGCAGAGCCAACCTGCTTGATTTACCCTGTGAAGCAGAACAGGGAGTAGGTGGCAAAAAGGGCTTTATGTTATCTGTCTTTATGGAACCCTGATCCTGGGGGCACCCAGGGGCCAGTTAGGGCAACTATAAGTCCTCTTTGTGCTGAAGGGGGCAGTAGAAGGGATTTACCAGGACCAAGGATCTGGCTCAGTATATCGGAAAGCAGAATGAGGAAAATTACTTTTAAGGGCAGTCTCCGTATGTACACCCGTCTGTGAATTAGGATTTGATTTATAAGCTTGTCACAAAAACAGTAAATTATGTGCTCTGTTCTCTGTAGCTGCACACTTACTATTATATTTATAAGCAGAAGATAGCACATTCAACTATCTCGTTGACTGGAACTTTCTAATGTAACATGACAACAAATCCAAAATGCACAGCCGAGCTAATAGACAAGACACATAAAAACATTCTGAATTGTGGACTGGTTTAGTACAGGTCCTGAGATGAACATTAAAGACGACATGTGGAAATAGAATACTATATATGGATCAAGAAAAAGTCAAGTGCGCTGAAAAATGTCAGATCTATAGAAAAATTTCTATGAGGTTATAACACTGGTCTACAATTTTTGAGAAGTTGTCTGCTTCAGAGATAAAATGTGCTATTTATTATGTATTTTGATGTGCTGAATTCAAATATGACAATTAAAACAACTGATTGGCTACTGTTTCTAAGATATTTAAGTTTTTACATTTTATGTCTATGTATATTGTGTAGATAGTAGAGTTTTAATCATAAATTGTAAACCTAGGTCTTTTCATGTGTTTATGGTTTCTTTACAT